GGGGAGCCCCTTGGCGCGGCCTGGCCGAGGGGTCCCGCGCAGCCCCCGCGGGAGGAGCCCGTGTGCGGCGGGGTTGAAGGCCTGTGCCTGCCCGGGGGGCTGGGGGTTGGCGTCCGCTTCTGTAAATGTGTTTACAGAGGGATTTCCTGGATGAAGTTTAAGAAAAAATAATAATTAAGGCCTGTGTTGGAAATCACCAGGAAACTAGGTTCTTCATTCAGAGGAACTTTTCATCTGCAAGTTTCAGACTTTATAAATACCAGTGAATTACACTTTATTTAGATTTACCACTGGGGAGATGGAAAAGAAGCCAGAGAGTGACCCCATACCGATGCAGCGAAGGCCACAATGCTGAATTTTATTTAAAAGGCTGTTTTTCTGGTTAATGAACAGGTCCATGGTCCCGCAGTCCCCAGCTTGCTCCCTAAAGACACCTCAGTGTGGGGGGTGACCCCCCCAAACAGCCTGCAGGATACCCAGCCTCCACGTTGTCCCTTCATACAAACCTTTATTGATATGAGAACCGAGTTATATAGAAAGTGGCACTGCAGAAATGTCTCTTTTTCTCCCTGCCAGTCATTACTTTCAGCAGAAAGCTACTACCTGGAGGTGGCAGAGAAAAAAAAAAAACAAAAACGTGGCAATTACTATTTCAGGCTAGTAAAATAACCAAAAGCGCTGTGTTGGAAAAATAAAGACTTTGGTCCTGCAAAAATACATATGATTAACATCAGTAACTTAAGTAGGTTCTTCTGGCTTCAGGGGGGGTGTGTGCAGGCCCGAAGAGCTGCACAGCTGGAGCCAGCCCTTGCAGACCCCCTGCCACTGTCTTTATGCAGATTACTGCAGGGTGAGTGACGTGAAAAGAGTAAAATAGGGTTTAATTTTGTAAAACCTTTATTTAATTATTTTATTATTTAATACAACGATCCCACATCTCATTCACCGCTATAGCTTGCAACACAGAAAAATAATCTTTTTTAAATTAACGTATCAATGTATTCCATTAAAAAAACCCAAAACGCAATAATGAACATCATGGTTAGTGTATGACTTATCTCAATAATTAAATATTGTTGATGTGCGGAAAGATGCAAGCAGATTGCTTTTTTCCTTCAGTTTGCATGTCTAAAGCTGCCTGCCGGCACATAGGCATTGACTAATTCCTTCCTAAAGGATTGTTCTGCTCATGTCTTTTTCTGTTTATGTCTTTATCCCAGCTTCTGGGATAGGGACCCCACCTCCAGCATCTCTCCAGTGTGCCACAGAGGAGCGAAAGCCCTTCCCCCAGCCCTGGGAGACCCTCAGAGGTGTCAGAAGAGGAGATGGGGTGTCAGTCACAGGGGTGGTAATGAGGAACGTTCCTTACACCTGATTGTCTCTCAGGGAGTTTCCGTTTGCATGAGTGTGAATGTTTCCCATGCTTTGCCTTACTCTATTCTTCTTGTCTTTTGAGACAGGCTGGAAACATGAGGAAACTGAAAGAAGACTTCTTCAGTACCCAAGAATCACCTTTCTTCCCCGCATGTCTTCGTGCCTTCCTCTATTTCAGGAGACATTTCTCAACCCAGTTGCATTCAACTTCATCCTCGTCCAGCCTGATCTTCCCCAAAAGGCTGATGCATTTCCCACTCTGGCACAGTTTGATCATGGTGCTGCTTCTAAAGAATCCCCACGCTTCCCACCGATCCTGATGTGCTTGTCTTGCATGTCTTGCATGTCCTTCATGGTTTTTTGTTTGCTTGGTTTTGTATGTGTTACCTACATTAATACTGGGCACATCTTGTATACCATGGCAAACAAGAGCAAGGAAAACACTATTTTTTAAAACATGAGTTTTCTGGAAGCACAATATTGAGGTATCTCAAAAATTAATCCCTGTTCTCTCAAAATAGCTTTGCTGCAAGTGTAAGGAAGCAAAGGGAAGGTAGAGCTGAAGGGACACTGGTGTGACAGGACAGGACCGAGGGCCCTCTGAGGCATCTCTGCTTAAGGCCAGCAGCTGGAGGACCACAGAGTGGGTTTGTCCTCCTGCATATTGCAGCTAGTGAAAGGTATGTGGCTGCTCGTGCATGCGGCAGGAGACCGACTGGCACCGGGCAGTGGTGAGAAGGGGGTAACATGATGTGGAGGACTGCAAGGGGGAAGAAATATGGGACAACTCAAGCATTACCCACCCTGGCATCCTGCTGCCTGCACACGCCAGCGTGTCTCTGCAGTGAGGTGCACTGTAGGCAGATCTCCAGAGCTGAGCAGAGACTGGATCCACACTGCATAGCTTAAACATTTCTAGACCTCACCTGGCCTCTGTACACCATATCCAAGACAGGAGGTCTTTTAGGGCTAGATCTGTCCTATCATTCTGTGTTTGTGGAGCCCTTCCATAAGCAGAGCCTCATTTTGGTTTGGATTGTGAATCTTTACTGCAAAACAAGTGATACATACTAATAGTACAACATCACCTGTAGAGGAGGGCTACGTACAGTACACTGAGACAGCTGTTTGAGCTCCTCCATTGTCTGCAAACAGAACACAGAAATGCATTTGAGATCATGACAATCAAAATTGTGGTTATATTTACATGTATTTACATATGGCAGTACGTTCACAGGAAAGGTATTATACAAAAGAAGTAGGTAGACTCATGACCAGTTTCAGATTTTTCCAAACTTAAGTATTATACAATGACTTGAACAAAATAATTTCTCCTCTAATAGTGGTACAATACCTTAGAGAGAAGGGAGACTTTTTGCATTGCAGTCACAATCGCTTTTGATCTGGGATTTTGTGAAGACTGAGTGTGGCAGGAAAGAGAACGGTGGGCAATTGGCTACAGACACAGTAGGTAGTGTGGAGATACACAGGAGTCATCCTCTCCTTCTCGACTTCGAGGAGGTGGAGAGATGAGAGCGGCCGGATGGGGAGCCCCCGGCTGTGCTGGGGACAGTCCTGGAGGATAAAGCAGGTGTTGTCAAATGGGATATTCCCCCCTAAGCAGCAGGGTCAGCTCTGCGAGGACAGGCTGCATCTAAAAATGCTGTGGCCACTGGAGGGCCCTTCTTGGGCAGCATGTTTCAGTGCTCAAGTGCTCCCACTCCAGAAGCTCTTCTCCTCTCCGCACAGATGTTTCATTTTTAGATCGTGCCCTATCTCTCTGGGAACCAGCTTTGCCTGTCAGAGCTCTGCTTTCCCTGGTTAGTGTGCAGATGTCCACCACTGAAGACGAAGGATCTTTCCAAAACCACTGTGATGAAAATACCTGTGTGTTACAGGAGCTCTTCCTACTTCACCTGATTTTTTGCAAAACTTCACAAAATCTTTAGTGTTTTTGATTTGTTCATGAAAGAGCTGCAGGTTTCATCTCATGGTATTTACCGAGGCCTGACTCCCTTCTCTCTCCGACAAGTCAGTGTTCAGCATAAGCCCGTGGAAGCCTGTCGAGTTGTGCAGCAGGTGGAAGGAGGCTCTGAGATGGTCCAGCCAGAGGGACCCAGCAGCACTCTGGGGGGTGCAGCTCTCCCCTGGCAGCTTAGCCGACCAGCTCACACTGAACAGGCTCTTTTGGACCCCCACCCCAGCTGAGGAACTCCTCAGAGAGATGCTGGCAGAGCTGCAGCAGAGCTGCAGGACACCGGTCGTCATCCCTGAAAACCAGGGACCTGCACCCGCTGCCCCAGGTACAGCCGCAGCGGCTGCTCTGCCCTCACCTGCCCCGGCAGCCCCCGCTCCCCCCAGGCACAGGGTGGGGCGAGCTGCTGGCTGGAGTGCAGAAACACACGGCGTGCCCAGGGCTGCTCCTCGGCTGGTCTCACACCCGTGCCCAGGGACAGCAGGGGAACCCCGGCCCTTCCTCTGCACCTGTGGCGGGTGCGGTGCCAAGCCGCACTGGCAGCGTGGATCTACCCACCCTGACAACCACAGCAGCATCTGTCCCATCCCGGCCGGTGGGAGCAGGGCAGGCTCCATCCCCTCGCAGCATCTGGGCACTGAATAGGACAGTGATGGAAACAAAATAGTGCAGCTGAGGGGCCAGAGCATCCTCATCCCCACAGCTGCAGGACGGTGGTGCTGACTTCTGTGTTGTCTCCCCTTTAGGCTTTACACACAGCTCGATGCACACAGGTGAACAGTGGTACCTAAGGCTAGAGAAGCACTGCCCGTTACCTGTGCTCGTGAACGGCATCAAGACTTCGTGAGAAATACTGCTAAACCGAGTTAACATGTAGCAGCAGAGCCTGTCTGCAGCTTATCCCAATGAAAAACCAGCATGCGTCGACAGGAAGCAATGCAAATGTGGGCAGAGACGAGCTGATCACACTCCAGATCATAACAGTCACATTTGGAAAAGGCATCTTTTTTCTTTATTTTGTTTGGGTTTATTTCATTCCTTTAAAAATTTTCTTTATTGTTTTTCTCAGACACTTTATATTTTGTATTTTGTGTTCTGAGCTCCTTACTGACACTTTCATGTAAAAGTTTCAGGACAAATTCTGCTTCAGAGCTGCTAGATGTCTGCAATAGCCAGGTTGAAATCAGTGCAGTTACTCTGCACACACACATCTCCAGAATACGGCCCTTTATTTCACAATGTCTATCATCTCACCTGTACAGAAGGAAACATCAGGTTTTTCTTGGTACCTCACATGAAATTAATCAGCTCTCATCACAACAGATGGACTCAAGTATCAGAGACACTGAGCCAATTAGTAGATTAAAGGTTTCAGTATTGAATACATCTGTGCTATACTGATTCTGTTTTTAAACAAAGAAACTGGGAAATAATTGAAAATATCTTTATGTCTCTTAGCCGTGACCTAGGGGCCATCTTCCCATCTTCCAATTATTTTAAATTTTCTCTTTTTTGCAACACAGGCCATGATCCAGCAGAGCACTTAGGAACATGCTTTATTTTAAGATTCTGGATAATTGCTGTGAAATTGTACCTTGGGTCATGTAAGCGCCCTTTTGAATCAAGACCAGAGTCTTTAACTCGCAAATGAATACATGGTTTCCAGCATCAGAAGTGAGTTGGTGAATTCAGTTAATAAGGAAGAATCTTATCTCTCAAGTGTTTTGTTATATGCCATGCAAAATACTGAAGCAATGACTTGACCACTTATTTTGCAGCTGTGCACAGTAAACCTCTGTGCCCAAGGGACAGATCACTGCTGTACCATACCAGAAAACACCAAATTTCCACCAGTCAAGATTCAACACACAAAAGTGCATCGTCCCCTTCCCATGAATCCTGAAGAGGTCTGCTCCAAGACACGTCGTTTTATGAACACTCCAGCTTCAGACAGTGACCAACTCTAGTGCTGATGACAGAAAAATCAATAAATAGAGTTGATGTCCCTATGGTGAAGAAAGTCTCTTCTTGCCCTATGGGCAGTGTGGTGGCACAGAAGACAATTTCCCAAAGACCATGTTGTACTTGCCCTGTCTCTCAGCTGAGGCCATTGATAGATTTGTAACAGCAAATACCATCAAACTTCCCCTCTGCTAGGGAGCTGCTCTGCTCTTCTCATGGGTGGCTGCGCCTCAGCGAAGCGTAAAAGCATCTCTGCCCTTCCTCGGCACAACGTGCACCGCCTCATGTAAGATGCTTTGAGATCATCAGCTGACAGGTGGCAGAAACGATTAGTCCGATTATCTGCTGTAGAGCCCTGACTGCCCCAAAATGACCTATACGCTCCCCATGTCAAATGGTAACAAGCATTAGAAGGTGTGTTATAGAGGGGTGTTATGGGGCCCCTCGGGAGGAAGGTTGGGGGTGACTGGTATAATCATCAAATGAAAGACCAAGACAACCATAAGCAGACATACATATATAATATGTACAGTGGCCATGGATGCATTTGCACCATGAAGGAAATTATCAAATTTTAGACCACAGAAAACGATCAGTTCCAGAATTTTTTAGTGCCAGGTGTCTCTGTCTAACTTGTTAGTAAAAAGAGAAAGAAATGTCCAAATGTGGGTTGAATGAAGTGGTGCAGCTGTCAGTTGTGATATTATTTCTTCACTATATTTCAGACAAGAAATGCAGAAGTATTCTTGTATATATATTATATATATTTTATATATATATTTATATATATTTGCATTACATGCTGCAGACAGAAAATTATCTCAGTAGTGTTTAGTTTGTTTTGTACCTTTTCTCTCACTCTCTTCAACTTTTCCAGTAGAGCCACCGGTATCAAAATATGGAGCTGAAGTACAGACATGAATGTAGTAAGCAGAAAATCCCAAGCCTCTCTGCAGGGATTACATGATTGAAGCTTTCAGAGCAGACTGAGATAAGGCAGTGTGAGGGAAGTCCTGAACCTACCTAAATGCTCTCCATGTGGTTTTCAGTCTGTGGTCTGTGGATTTTTCCAAGTCTGTAGATTTTTACAAGTCTGTGGAGTACTGCTAATATATCTCCAGAAAGTATCTAAGAAAATTAAGCCCATTACCACTAAGTTTAAATTCACCATAGAGGAGGCTGAACCTCTGTAAGAAAACTATTGCAGGATCTACAAGTTGTTAAAAGTTGAAAACCATTGCTCCAGTTACAAAATGAGACTGCCAGTGAGTCTGCACAGTGACTTGATTCAAAATATTTACTCCCGAAATTCAAAGTATGTAGTGATGTGAGAAAAGGAACTAACACAGGAGGCTGCACACTGGCAAAAATCAGCTGGCCCATATATATATATATATATATATATAAAAATACAGAGTATTAAAGGACTCACTGATATTCCAGCTCCAGGCACCTACAAACACTACATTAGGCTGTACTAATTACTGACTTACACAAGAGGCAAAGAATGAACTTGGGAAAGACAGAGAGATGAAGATGACAGGGAGATGAGTATCATCATCAGCTGTTTTTTCCTTTGCTAATGTTCCTGCTCACTAAAATTAAGATGCTGGCTAGAATTAGGCTTTTGAAAAGACTAAAATTACTAACAAGACTCTGCCAAAAGAGGTGTGCTCCCTGCATTCCTGTAACAAGGACCAGGCTGCTTGCAATTAAAATAATTTAAAAATAAAAGAAAAAAATCAGGGTGCTGCATGTTTGTGCTACTAACTCCTCCGGTGTCATCCTGGGAGGGGAATACAGAAAGTCTACTCAGCAGTGTGTATGTGGGGCTCCAGCCCTGGAAATGGAGCAGGGGTCATTTCAGAACATGCACGTCACTTGGGTCGATTTGTCTAAGCCTTGTTCAGTGCACATGTCATCTGGGAGGTGCTACAATATTGTGGCTCCAGCAGCATCCATGCTCCTGGGGTCCTTCAGGCCAATGATGAAACTGTTGGTTCTCCTGGCCCCATGAACTAGGGAGACCACTTTGACTTTATCCACTTGATGGCCCCTGGATACAAGAAATTCAATATCTTCTTCAGGAAACTCACCTGTAGGGATTTCAAAAGAGGAGTTTGCAACTAAAACCACTGCTGCCTTTGATGCAAAGCTCTGGTCTAGCCTTGTTGGGATCTGCAGTGTGAAGGAAACTGCCCGCAGCCTCTTCAGAAGGGGTCCTGGCCAAGCAGGCGGGAGGACCAGCACTCCCCACTCCACAGAGCCATCTGTCAGCTCTAGCTGCAAAGGCTGCTCAGAGCTAGGCAGTGCTCTGCGCAGTGTGGGAAGGGAGAGGATCCAGAAGACCATTTAGAGATGTGGAAGATCCTCTTTGGAAAAAGAGGAAAATACATTGTTGGCACCTACTGTAGTTATTCTTCTTATAGCACACAAGGCAGTCCCTGCTCTTAAGAGCTTAGTTACAAATAATAGTATTGAGTTATTAGTCAAAAGAAGATACACGTGAGCTCAAAACAAATTATAGTAAAACAAGTTGCCAAATAACAAACTGTGACAAGCCTTCCAACTTCCCATTCATGTATTCCTTAATCTTCCAACCATCTACTTTAGGTCGCTTGCTCTTCTGCTTTTATTTTGTTTATCTGATGTTTTGTAATTTCTGTGTGAATAGAAGTGCCTGAGGATACAAAGCTGGGGATGCAGCTGGACAAACCGAGCAGGCACACAGAAACCCCACAGTTATTTATGTTATATACATTGCAGATGAGTCTTAACATAGATCTTGTTAATGCCAAATGTCCAAACCCACAAATTAGGACCTATTACAGTTCTGGATTTGTTTTAATTACATTCTAGTTTCCAAGTCTGCGGATCACACCCAACAGACATTTTCAGATTTTCCTCTGAAACGAGAAGGCCTAGAAACTTTGGCTATTTTGTGTGAAATGAGAACCAAATTTCACTGAATGGTTCACTCTGGTAAGGTATGGGGCTTTGTGAAAAACACCAAACAGACCAAGACTTGTAATAATAAGGACAAGAGCTGGCAGTACAGTCTCCAGAGTGCAGCACTGATGCTGCATTTCCAGCACTGTCAAGCTACAAGCCTTGCCATAAGCCTTGTCTTCTCCCCAGCTGGTGGAGTTAGGGGACATGGACTGGAATGTGAAAGAACATCATTTATGGCAGTGGTAATAAAGTGTAGGAAGATCTGCTAGCTTTCAGGGCCTGTCTGGGTGAAGATGTGGCTGAAATCTCGTTTATTTGCATATACTCGATGGCATCATATCACCAAAAGGTTCTAAGGACAGGACAAGGCTGCTACCAGGAGGTGAGCTGGGACAGGGGGAGGGCTGGGGAGAAGCACCTGGAAGATTTTGGACAGGTGGTGTTGGAGAGGCCAGGGAGCATTCCCAGGATGAGAGAGGGCATGGCTCAGCAAGGGTGCCAAACTCTAGAAGAAGCCAGGTTGCTTCTTTCTGTCTTCTCCAAACCCCTCTGAACCCACTGGGGATCCTAGAACATGGTGAGCTGTGCGCCGGGCTGTCGTACTTCCACAGCAGTGCACTAAGAAAATCCTGCTCCTTTTTGAAACACACTAGGTTTGTAGGCTGCACCACACCCAGTGTCTATACTCACTGTCAACCTGCAAGGTGTTGGACTGAAGCTGTGGGTGAAGTCGACCAAGTGACAAACTTTCACTCAGATTCCTGTTAAATGTTAAAACATTTACCAAAACCTGCAAGAGAATAAAAGATCCTCAATAATAAAAAAAAGTAATGAGGAGAACCAACTTCCCAAGCATTCCCCTAATGGGTGGCTCCACATCTGCAGATACAGCAGGCAATGAAGATTGTGAACCATTTACCAATGCAGGGTTTTGCACATATGAAGAGGCCCTTGAAATATGGCCTGTATATTGTTTGTGGAAAAGCAGCACTTTTCAGGATTGCCTGGGCTTTTTGTCACACAGTTCCTGCTAAATTAGGAGAGTTGTGTGTCTGGAACGTGATGTAATCTCTAAATACATGTTTGTTAGAGCCAAAAGCTCAGCACGTGACCAAAGCATTAGGAAGCAATGGTTGGCTTTAGTTCTGCTCTGAATAATGCCTTCCAAAAGGTAAGGAAAATGTGAGCCATTCTTGTGCCTTTCTTTTAGCAATCCCTTGCTGTTGTGCATGCAATCAAACTATTGGCCAGTACATCATACCTCATTACAAATCATAAATTTGGAGGAGCTGCCCAATTTATAGCAAGTGTTGAGCATGGAGGAATTCAGTCTGGAATGCACTAAAAGAAGCTTTTCATAGGGAAAAGGGCTTAAGGGCTGTCAGTCTCCTGCAGTGCTCTGAATACCAAATGCTCCTTTTTTATCCTAACGATCCCTAAGATGAGATTTGAACAGGTATTAGAATGACACAAAAACATTATAGATTTTACCAAGATACTTTTCCTCTACAGTTAAGAGCGGTGACACCAGGAAAGGTGCAACAGAAGTAAACCAGGAACTGGTGACATCAAAGATTGAACTAATTCTGAACTAACGACAAAGACTGAATTGAGGATTACTGAGTAATCCCATGGTCATCAGTTTCAGCAGAGCCTGGGACATTAGGAAGGGCAAGTCTGTACTGCAGGAAGGGACCCTGCTCAGTGTTGAGCTCAACAGCTGCTGTGAGAGGCAGGTTCCTGGACACAGCACTGACCTGCACGATGCTGCTCAAGGCTCTGTCCCCATTGTTAGCTCCCAGACACAGGTACGTCCCGCACATCCCCTCCGATGGTCTCACGATGGTGGGCAACAGAAAAGACAGGGGCCGTTTCCGAGGCTGAATGAGATTCTGCTGCAGTTGAAGAAAAGGCACACCAAAAATATTTCAACAAGCTGGCTAAAGCTTTGCTGGTGCTCAAGTTGCACAGGTTAACTTCTTACTCTAAGCTTCAATCAGCAATTGCACTCATGTAGTTTTACAGTCCTCATTGATATAATAATGCTCTCTGATTTTAATAGAATCCATCCCATTTCACACCATCGCTCTTTTACAGAAGGTATATAGAGCCATTCACCCACTTCTAAAGTACCAACTCAGAAAAGTGGAATGGTTTTACAATACATGGCAAGAAGAAACAGCAAGGCAGCACGAAGCCACTAGTACTGGTCTGTAATTGTTTCTTTCCAAGAGCTGAAGATTTTTTTTCTGCTGTTACTTTTAAACCTGAAGAGCAGCAATTCATAAAAAGAATCCTTAATTCAAGTCCACAGAAAAGGACGGTTGCTTTAAAGTGCTTCTGGACTGCAGGGAAAATAGATGTGCAGGGTCATTTGATAAAACTGCATTATAATGATAACTGATACCTATGAGCCACTATGTTTTAGTGACTCATATAATGAAAAAATAGGAGCTTTCTACAGACTGTTGTCTCTCAGTTATTAATAAGGCATTAAATAGCCTCCCTGTTGTGGAGGTGAGAATAAAATCGGAAAAAATGGTACGGACAGCTCAAATAAAGAATTTGTCATGTAATTCATTACCGGCCTGGGAATGGAGTGATTCAGTGTTTTATTCTGCCAGGAGAAGTCCAACATCTGGCTGTTCAGGAGGACTCCAGAGGATGTTATTATTCCACTGCCAAAGGGACGATTCAAAGAACTGAAAAGAAACATGAAGAAATCTCAGAAAAATCCTCCCAGCAACTTTTGTACACCTTGAGGCTTTCAGGGCTCCAATTTTCTGTTCCATCTTGGCTTGATAGAGACTCTTTGGTCGTTCTTTAGGGCTGGTTAGATGTGAGGATTGACAGTCTCCATGTACTAAGGAGAAGGAATCCTGTGGGTGATAGCAGCTCTGTCACTCCCTATGTTTAAAGATTACCCTCTAGGTGATGGATCTGTCTCCATGCACCCATCAGTCCTCAGATATGGCCATCACCTCTTCTCCAGGGAGAAGATTTAGGCCAATCCAGACATGTTTCATTGTGAGAGGGCTGCAGGATTGCACAGGGCAGAGCAGCACCAGCTCACACATCTCCACCCCGTCTTCCCCATTTCTCTTGCTGCAGGACTAACTGGTACAGAGCAGCCCAGCTGCTCCAGCTCTGGTCCTATCCTGTCCTGCTGAACCTGCTTTCTTCTCCCTGCTCCCACCCTCTGAGTACATTATGAAGGGAAGAAGTAAATCCTTTACCTTACAACTGCAACAATGAAGTCATCGGGTCCCATGACAAGGACTTGGCTAGCAGCAGGTCCACTATCCATGGAGAAGTGAGGCACATGAAGATCAGACGAGAAGGACTGGGAGTCATTAATCAGCTGGCGCAGGGAATTAGCTTCTGATTTACTTCAGCAGTGAGGGAGAGAAAGAGGAAAGAAAGCCATGAGCCTCGGAAGCTAAGTGTCTCTTGGCTAAGCTGTGGGGGTACATCTACAGAGTTACGGGCAGTACCTCCCTGAGGGGGCTGGCACTGAGGACAGGGAGCCCATTTGGTTCACCAGATGGAAGGAGACAAGATCCTCAGGCTGCACAGAGAAGCAATGCCAAGCACCTCCCAGGCTCTGTCCACAGTGGCAAACTCAGCCTCCATGGACAAGGGGTGGCACCACCCAGCTGAACACCAGTCCTCCAGGAGGAGGTCAAGTCATGTCCAGGTCTGGCCACCAACCATGGCTAAACCTGGCTCTGAGGTGAGGCTGCCATGGGTGCACTGCAAAGGCACTGAGCCCCGTGGTGTGGAAGGGAGAACCAGAAACTGCACGTGTGATCATGACCACGTGGATGGCCGTTTGTCCAACCTGCTCAGAAGGAATACTCAGAGGGGTGAGGATGTGGGAGGAACCCTCAACATCAAGCTGGCTCCTCTGTGTGAGGACATCCCACCAACCCTTCCCCAGAGGCCTCTGCTATCAGCTATGATCCTTGTAGAAGAGGGACCCCTGGGAGCACACTCAAGGACTGGCCTTTCCTCAATAAAACAGAGGTAGAAAAACCTCAGGTTTCCTTGTGCACTGAAAAGAGCAAATCCAGGCATGATATCCAAACCACACATCTTACAACTGTCACCGTGCCTGTCAGCCTCAGACCTACCTCACCATGCCTTCTGCGGCGTGAGTGATGGATACATCATCAGATGGGTCTCCCAGGTTGCTAGCTAGACTCAGAGCTATTTTTAATGTCTAAATTGAACACACAAAGAAAGAAAAGAAAGAAGGAAAGAAAGAAAGAAAAACATTTAGGTGGCCCTGGAAATACAACTTTTGATACTCCAAACAGGAAGAGGTATCTGGTCTCCTGGCCTGTTGGCTAAAGCCTGTGAAGAAAAATGTCTAAAAGCCTGGTCCTGGGAATACCTCAGTGCAAAGGGCTACCACACATGTGTACGGGGACAAAAAGACATCAGTTTGGCATGGCAAACTGTGCAGGGGGGAGCTGAGCATACCCAGCAGCAATTGTACAAGGTGAAATAGGCCTGGCAGGAGCTGACCGGCTGGCTCAGCCCAGCTCAGTGGTTCAGCTGCATTGCCAGCTGGCAGACTGGGTCACCTTCTATTTCCATTCCTGAGTGGTCACCATAACAGCAGAGATCACACTGAATCCCAGTGGGACAGTGGGTCCTGGGCTCACTGCTGCATGTGGGCAGTAGCTCCACTGGCACAGCACCACTGACAAGCAGAAATGAGCTATTCCACTCACCAGCTGGTACCCACATTCCTAGTTATAAGTCATCCAAAGTCTTTGAACAGAAAGCATTAGTCCCAGCATGCTTAAGGGAATGATGGTGTAAAAAGTGGAAAGGATCTGGTTTCTTATACATGCAGAATCCTGCCTAAGCCAGTCCATTGAGAATGGGAAAATGCAGTTTTGAAAGACAGTTTATCCAGCCCTGGTTTTACAGTGCGTAGCCAGAGGACAGCCACAAGAAATATGCTCTTCAATCAAGCCAGCTTGTGCCTAGCAGAAGTGCACTAGACTCAGCCTGCAGGCCATGCCATTTTCATTCAAGATTCAAGGTAGATAGCTAGATGTGACTTCTGTTTTGAGATGTGTCATGCATCAACAACTTGTCCTGAAGTGTCATCATTTATCTTCTGATGTACAGTGTAGAACATGATCAACTTTTGGAGAAGGTGGCATTTCCATGAAACAGTCTCCTGACTGCTATACCATACAGAAGAGGCTTGGTGGCAAAGGAAGAGCTCCACTGAAACAAGCAGCCCATATCCACCCCACAGGCATCAGTTAAGAACATCTTGGTCATGGCTGTCCCAGGGCTGGACTATCTGGTGCTGACATAGCACTGAGTCTCAGCCACATGATCCCAAGTAATCAGGTTTACACATCTTCTGACGTGACTGCCCTTTATCTGGAGGTTGCTGTTCCTCAGCTGAGACAAGATAACCAATGAGTGAAACTCTCAGCCTCGTGCAAATGCAGAGCAAATAGATTCATCCAAAGCTTTCTGAAGAGAGCTCAAAAATAACTTAGGTGAGTCAACCTTCTCTGCCTCTGCACAGGCCTAGCAGCATGTAACATCTCCAACTGTTGCATTTTTGCTGAGAGGCAGTAACTTCCAAGTACCCACTGTCCTGTCTGCTACAAGGATGTGGTTATATCCTTGCTTAAAATTCCCAACTCATAAAACCCAGCTGTGGATCCGTTAAGCATCTAAGAACATAACTCTGCTTACAGAGCAGGAAATGGAGCACTTGCTTGACTTCTTGGGAAGCTGGAATGTTTTTGTAGGGCTGACAGCCCTAAACACTGGAAGAATAATTATCTGGACTACTGAGATCATGAGGTTGGCTAAAATGTAAAGCTTTAAAAAAATACAAGTGTTGGGAGAGTTTTCCTTGTCATCACCACATACAGGTTTTTGCTTGTGGCATCACATTGCTGACTCTCCTTGCAGTGCCCTAGCAGTGCTCTGGTATGGTCTGGGCCACTGGAGCATAAGAGCTGGAGGAAATAGGTGGTACCACTCTCAGCTGCTGTGGGGTCATTCTGAAGAGATGATCATACATACAAGAAATGGGCAGAAGCCTGTTTGTTCTTCTGAAAGAGCTCTGCTTAAGCAATAAAGATCTCAGCTGAGCAGGAGGCTCCAGCATCTGCACCTACTTGAGGCAGCAGCACAGCTCAGATTTACACCTTAGCAGTCTATTTGCTCATTCTCCTCTGGGAATTACCTACAAACATTTTTGTACAACCAAGAAATAAATAAATTCTTCTCTAGCACCACAAGAAATGCAGTCAAATGTTGAACCTCCTCTTACCTCTGCCATCCAGTGCAAGATATTCCCCCTGGATACTTGACTTGTGATGTTAAAGTCTTCAAGGATATTCAGTGCTGTGATCAGTGCAGGACCTGCATGCGGAGGTGGGGGACTGAAAACAAGATGACCTGTGAAGGGAAGAAGAGGGGAGTGAAGCTGCTTTCGTCAAATACTGTCCATTTATACTTTCTCATAAGCCAGGGTCCTTGAGGACAGGGAAAACTTTCCATATTTGAGGGGAAATAATGGAAAGCAACATGATTTGAAAAGGATTTCCCAAGACATTCCTGTTGTATCTTTTTGTTTCTTTATGATGGATGAAGGAAGCCCAAATAGGGTTGCTTTCTTTACATCTGAAATTTAGTTCTTGTTGGTTGGCTGTTTTTTCTGGACTGCAGTTGGAAGAATGGAGATAAAATGGGTTTGCAACATTACAGCTATAAGGAGAGTAAATATAGGGATTTCTAAAAAAAAAAAAAACATTTTAGAAACTTGTTGCATAAAGTAAGTTTTTTCTCCCTTATAGATCAACTTTGGGAACTGTCTTCAGACACAGGTGCTAGCCTATGGTCCAGCTTCTATCTAGATATTGAATCAGTATGTAATCATGTTGTAGCTTTACACTCTATCAAAACACCATCAGTCACTATCAAGGAAAAAACAGGGCCATTTAAAAGTGCTGAAAACCTCTCGAACTGCCTATGATGCATCAGTGTCAGTGAGCAATAGCAGGAAACTCCCCAGAGGGATTTTCTGCAAATGCCTCAGCGCAGTTTTGACTTCAACTCTTGTTAAATACTGTCACCACCTCTTGCCAGGTGAAGCAAACTTTTAACTAGTCACATGGTAACGGGTCAAGCATTTACCTCGGTAGACTGTGTGGACAGGATTCTCCACTGTGACACTGTAATTGCTGAAGTCTTCCTCCACCAAGACTCCTCCATAGTTGTGGACCTACACAGGAGAGCAAAGCAGTGCACGCTGAGAAAGCTGGTTCAAGGCTTTCTGTGTTCTTTGTGGTGGCCCAGGTGAACACACACCACATTGTCAAACAAATACCATTGAGATTCCTGTGCCAAGTGCCAGGTTCCTCAGGATACCCTCAAAATCTGTGCTTTCATGGCCTTGGTGGCCTGGCTCACCAGTCAGCACTGCTGGAAGGCTCTGCAGCTCACCTCCAAAAGGTCACCCACCTCATGGGTGCTCTGAAGACATTCTGCCTGTCCATGAGGATGAGGACTGGCACAGCCTCACAGCCTTCTCTCCTCTGGGTGGCAAGCATGAGTATGTTAAAGGTTATGAAATATTTGAATACTGCCAGGATAAAAGATATATATCGATCCAGGAGAGAAGGAACCTGGGTGCAGCAGATTGCCATAGAAATCTTTAGCGTATAATTCCCATCCTATTTTTAATTTTTTTCAGGTGATAGTAGGTCTGCTGTATCCTTGGTCTTTCTGTAGGATACTCCTGGAGGTACAATTTACTGGGTTTGGTAGTTTTCATGAACACAGCAAAGACAGGCAATTCCCTCCACTGCAGGTCTCCTGTGGTTGAGCCATGATGGAGATGAGGTAGGACCATTATAACTTCATTCTGACGATCTTAAAATACCTTGAAGTAGGTAATACTCTCAGTCAGCATACAGATGCTACTGTGCTCATGGGCCAGCTCTTTCCTTCCACCCAGGAGAAGCCACACAACCTGGTGAGAGGTTCTGCTGGGGTGAGTTGTGGCTGTGAGTCCTCTGGATTTCCATCCAAAAGTGGGCAAGAACACAGAATCACAGAATCATCTCGGCTGGAAAAGACCCTGAAGCTCCTCCAGTCCAACCACGAACCTCCCCCTGACAGTTCCCAACTCCACCAGATCCCTCAGCGCTGGGTCAACCCGACTCTTCAACCCCTCCAGGGATGGAGACTCCACCTCTGCCCTGGGCAGCCCATTCCAACGCCCAACAGCCCCTTCTGCAAAGAAATGCTTCCTAATATCTAGTCTAAACCTTCCCTTAACATGTGAGTGCTCCAATTTCTAAACTAGCCAGCTAACTTGGCAAGAAAACTCCTTCTCTGGCAGACATGGATGAATCACTGGAGCAGGAAAGCTAATGCAGGGCACGTTGCGGAGGGCAGCATATCAAACCACTCCAAAGCTGCAAAAGATGTATCCCCTACTTAGGATCCCTTCCTGAAGCAGTTCCAGAGCACAGGCCAGGTTGGACCCGACTCAGCTGACCTAGCGGGTGCCTGTGCCAGGAGCTGGCTCCCTGGGGCTGAGCCAGCCCCAAGCGTGGGCAAAGCCACGGGGAGTGGGGCAGGAGCCTGATAGCACAGAAAAGGGAGAGACCCCGATCAGCCACACACTGCAAACATCATCTCAAATTCCCCAGAAAGCATTTTTTCCCATGTGTGCCTTCCTGCCATGGGGTGGAAACAAAGGGTAGGGTGTTTTGGAGCTCTACTTTATTTCATCACATGGGTGCCCTCCCTTTGCTGGAAAAATAAACACTGTGGGAAGCCAGCACTTGGCTCTGCTCTGGAACAAAATCTGGAATTGTGCACTTGAACCCAGAGCCTGCCAGGGTCTTTGGTGTTGCAACCCTGGGCCTCTCCACAGAGAGTTTGTGCTTCCCTGCAGCAGCCCTCGGGTCGGGGGAATGGAGTGATAAAGAAGGGTTTAGCTGTGGAGATGCACCACAAGCCTGGGACTTTTCCTGTTCCTTGGTCTCCAACTCTGCTGTGGTTCAGGCGAACCGTAGGAGATTTCCAAACACAGAGCTCACAAATGTCTAAGGCTTGAGCTGAATTACAGACTACTGATGACATGTGCATCACTTGAACCATGGTGGTACGGAAAAATGGTGCCATCAGCCACCCTGACTGCAGCTACAATGGTATAAAAGTTGGGCACCTTTTTTTTACCAGAGCAATTACTTTGTTTGTTGCTGCTATTTTTTCCAGAACACCTCTAACAACAGAAGTTAAACTAGGGCAACCCTAAGTGGGACCAAGCCTGTCTGACCCTCTGCTCACTAGGCTCACAGTTTTATTTTAAAACCATCTTCCCAGAGTCTATATCTTACAGTCCCATTAAGACAAAAATTGTTCTCAACAGTGGGGCACCTCTTGTTATAGAGGAAAAGGGGTTGTCACTAACACAGCCTAAAGGGGGCCTTGAAATTAACGGGTTTTTTACCTTTGAAAAAACAGTCTGTCCTGATTATAGAGGAAATGGAGGTTTCACTTCTGTAGGCTGTGGAAGTGACCTGTGTGTCACTTACACCACTGCAGTGACAGGGACAGGAGAGAAAAAGGAGCCTCCATGCATTTGTCCTCATCATTGTGTTGACTCTTGGCTATGGCTTATCTCCAGGCTGTCACCTTAAGCAGGTGACATCGCAGGTGGTACTCCCAGCGCAGGCTGTGCTGCGCAGTCTGGGGCAGAGACAGGGACATACGTGGCTCACCTCGGAGATTATCTCCTGGGTCAAGTTTCCGCTGTAGAAAGCTGACACCCCTTCTGCACCCACCAGCTCCAGGACGGCCGCGAGGTCCAGGCGCCTGACAAACGTGCCGGGCAGCAAGGGCTGGCCGTCCGGCAGGAAGGTCTCCTGGAATTTGTCAGAGTAGTTCAGGTCCTTGAGCTCACTTATGGCTTTGGCTGTGGGCAAGAAGGGGAAGAACATCCAGAAAAGCCATGGTACAGGAGCACGCAGGGGACCTGGAGTCACTGTGCACCTGACAGGGATGTTGGAGACTTGCTGCTGCCTCTTGCCCTGATTCAAAACTAGAGGGAGGCTGGATCATGCATCCATTAGAGCCGGGAAGGAAACCCAAAAAACCCCAGTGCCCTGCCCTGGCTGGCCCTGGGCAGCTGCTCTGACCTGCCTCTGACCAGACCTCAGAAAGGCTTCCAGTTTTGCTGGCACCATGCCCTCCCCTTGCAGACCATGGTTCACACATTGCTCAGCTCCCAACACCATCCATCTCCAGGTCCAAAGAGCCTTCATTTCTCATGAATAACCATCTACACCCCCCACTGCCTCCCACTCGAGCACAATAGCCAGTGTACTCCTCCACACTGAGCAGCCACTCTTGGTTCCCCACTAGGTACTCACCCAAATCATGTGTGACATTAAACCCATCCTGGGCGACACTGGCTGCGAGGCCCAGCAGCTCTGACCACGGGAGTCTGCCAAAGAAGAAAGGACAAGGAGAAACACGCCTTGGAGGGGTGCAGCAGGGCAGGGTGGTGGGGAGTAAGTGCAAAAAGCTTGGCTCTGCAGTCAGGGGGCTCCTGAAAGATCAGGCTGTGGGGCCAGTGGGGGCCAAACGGAGCACTGAGCTTTCAGCAGGTTGTTTCTTTTCAGCAGGATCATCTCAGTGCTCCATGATGTGCACCAGAGAGTAACGTAAGTGCAAGGACAGGGGAAGGGGCATCTCTGAAGCAAAATCTCAAGCCAGGCTCTGGCCCTGAGCAAGTCATTCAGATCCCTCCCTCCCTGTCCCAACAGGGAATCAAGGACAGCCACACTTCTTAGGGTCCAGCTAAAGAGAGAATGAAAATACACAGACATGCATGAAAGTGTTCTGTGGCTATTTCTAAGAGAACATCTTGCTAGCCAAAATTTCACTTTGCAGAAAATCTGACCAAACTGAATTCTTTCTTTTGCTAAATGAAGTACCAAAAAATGAACATATTTTTCAACACAAGCCTCCAAGTACCTCTTAGCTAATGGTTTTAACTGGTGGCTGAGAATGTGGTCTGATGATGAGGGCTCGTGTGCTTCCAGCTCCCCCACAGGGACCCTGGTGTCCAGCCTGTGAAGCACAAGCACAGCCTGCCTTGTGTCAGCCTTGTGTCTTACCTCCCATGTAACTGGTGCGCCTGGTGCATTCCTTGTATCATGCCGGGCACCCCCACGAGCAGACCTGGCTGTAAGATAGGAGGGACAAAAAGGAAGAGTAGTCTCCCTCCCATGAGGACATGGGACATGGTTCCCAATTTCAAGTGAGGAGATGCACATTATGTATGGGTGGGAAGTATCTGCATGGCCTTTAGGAGAGGGGAAGAGGTCAGTATCAACACATTAAATTAGGGAATAAAAGGTTTGGGAAGGAAAGAGGTAAATTCAATCCTGGTCTCAAGTCAGTTTGATCAGGAGAAATAACTCAGCAGAACAACAAGGGATTGTGCTCCTTCCTGGGACTCTTGTTCTCCTGGCTCTCCACTGCCAGAGGGACATGCCTCTTTACTCCCCAGGCCCTGCAGGCTCCAGGAATTTTGAGGCTGCCAAAGAAGTATCTTCCCTGTACTCTCCATGTCTGTAGAGTCTGGGATCTCCCACGGTGGGAGAGGCCTCCTCCCACTTCCCTGCAAACCTCGCCCTCCACCCAAGAGTTGCAGGGAGAGGAGAGCTGGAGACATCAGCCAGCTACAGCCCTGGAGGGGTTGACTGTGAGACACTGCTCCTCACCTTGGTGTCCTTCTGCAGGTCCCCCTCCAGCGGGATGCCCAGGGGAGCCACCTCACGGAAGTCAATCACCCAGCTCCTGTTCTTCCGGATGTCGTGCACCAGCATCACCCCACCCCTGCAGCAAGATGGGGTCACAGCATGGCACCGGTCCCCGCGGCAGCCGCTGCCGTAAAACCAAAATGAAAGGCTTGGGTGCCACTGGAGCTACGGCCAGTCCCAGCATGATGTGGGCCACCAGCATAGCAGGCCACCAGCCTCAGCAGTGACCCAGGGCTGGCCAGTGGTGCAGGGGAACACTGCTGCCCTTCCCCAGAGGGTAGCTCAGGACAACCAAGCCAGGGCTGGTGCAGGATGCAGGCAGCTCCTGTGCTGAGCCTGCAGCGGAGCTAGATAAGTGCCATTGGCTCTGTTCCATGCCAGGTTGGGACTATCTGGGATTTTCTTTCTAATCCAAGCAGTTTTGCAACAAAACAGGGGTTTTGCTTACAACAGCAATCAGTGGTGCAGCCTGGAGGAGCTATCAGGTGGCAGGTTTTATGCAATGCTCCCAGGACCTCCTGCAGAGCCAAGAGCACCAGGCTCACTTGGCTGCCCTGCCGGGAATGAGGGCTGGGAGGAAGGCCACCCCTCGCTGCCATGCCTCCCCTGACTGCTGCTTGGAGCCAGGCTCGGGCCTCAGCCTCCTGCTGCACCTTATGGAGGGAAACGCTCAATCTCTGAAAACACTGGGACTGAGCCCAGGACGTTGCAAGCTCCTGGCACACTCACAGAGGGGCTTGGCAGGCTGCAGTCACTTTTTCAACCTTCTTGAGCCTGACGCTTGGACCTTCCTGGCAGTCACTATGGCAGATGCAGCTTTTACCTCCCTGAGGGTCTCTGCCCCTCACTGCCAACTTGGTGCACGGGAAGGGTCCCCAACCCTGTGCAGGTGTAGACACATCCACTGCCTGATGTGGTACCATGCACTTGGGACTCAGGCTACCGTGAAGGCACATCTCAGCTGGCGGGGAAACTACCTGCTTGAGGACAACCTGGGGGTGAGGGATCAACACTTACCCACCAATCCCCGACGTGTGGGGGTTGATGATTCCTGCGCAGAGGGCCGAGGCGATGGCCGCGTCCACCGAGGAGCCCTGCTTGTTGAGCACCTCGATGCCAAGTGCTGTGCAGCGGGCAGCGTCTGTGACCACAGCGCCTCGGTGGAAGATCTGCCAGAAGAGGAGAGCGGTTGTGCCCGGGGAGGGGGGCTGAGGCCACCCAGATCTTTGCTCAGCTCTGCGGAACCTGAAGCTTGAGGCCAGCGCCAAGGCTGATCAGTACCTTCAGGTGCCTCCAAACACCAGTAGGAGTAACATGTCCCTTGGCATGTTCCTGCACCAGGGTGGCTGTGGCCACTCCGCATGCCACCATGGCCATCAGCTCAGCTGGCTTTCAACACTAGACATGCTCAGTTTGTGGGCCACGTCTCAGCCTGTCTTCCACAACCCCAGAGCAGGGTTGGACTAATCCTCAAGAGCAATGGGCAATGGCATGCTGTCACTGCACTCAGCAATGCAGCTGGAGACAAAGAATGCAGCATCCCCCCCCTCTGCTATGGCTTGTTTGCATCCTTCCCCGGTGCCAGCACCAGTGCTAATGCAGCCACAGAAAGTTTTAAAAGGTTCATTTTAACCCTATGGTAGAAACTATAGCATCTCAGCATGAGCCAGAGTGGCCTTGGGAAGTGTGAAGATGGAAGGGCCACAGCAGGCTGGGGGGAAGGACTGGCCCTTCCAGTGGAGCCACAGAAGGGGCTGTGTTGCAAAGCCTCCCTCCAGCGCTGCACCTCAGCCAGCTGTGGGGCTGAGCCACTCCACTTCCAAGGGCTGCATTTTGCATACTAGGGAGAGAGCCATACCTTTTAAAAAAGTAAATCTCTTTCACATGGACTCACAGGCAACTCTGTGCTGCTGGGTGGCATATAGAGAAGGTGATGGTGAGTACTGGCTGCCCCTTGGCCCTTCTCAGGCAGGAGATGTTCTGCAGAAAGGTATGACCCCATGGCCATGCTGCCTTTGCTCTGCAATTTAGCACTGGTCTGTGGGACAGATTAGCGGGAGGTTCAGCTCTGTTTACAGCTACTCCCCTGCTTCATCCTGGATGGATCCTTCCAGAGGTGAGCCTAGGCATACAGATCCATAAAACTCTCTCCAAGTGAAGATGTATGAAAGACGCCTACTGCTTAACTGAGGATTGCCTTCTGAGAGCATGTATATCTGGCTCAAACCACAGCCAGAGACACAGCAGCAGGGCTGCCTGTGTACCCCTGCCAGCACCCCCAAACACGCCAGGCACACAGGGCAGGTGCTGAGAGCCCAGCTCACCTCTCCAAGCACAACCCCCAGCTGCAGGAAAAAGCTTGTGAGATAATTTGGGGTGGAATCACAGAGACTCAGTACCCAGGGTTCAGCAGCTGGGGCTCAGCAGCACTTACCCCGCTAAACTGCTGGCAAGGTGGAAAGTTAGGGAACTTCTCCTATTTTCAGAGCCAAAGTCTGACTGCAAAGCCATTGTTTCATCTTACCTGAGGGTCTCCAAAATAGATCTGCATGATCAGGGCCACCGTGACCCCTGTGGCAAAGGTCAGGCAGGCAGTGATGATTACAGTCAGCCCATCCTGTCGGCAGCTGCAGTCCCCAGAAAAAGGGTCCTTGCTGGTCTCCTGGAGAGGGGACACGTCCTGGCTTCCCATCTCTGATGAGGATGAGGGCAGGCGCTGGAGACGTGCAGACTTCAGGAAGGAGTCTGGGTCTTTGTGGGCAGCAGGAAGAAAACAAGTGTTAGTTATTGAGCAACACGGGGCTCTTATTGCAGTGTTTACCCAGTACTAACATTACACCATGCCCTTCCATCAACGCTATTACCTTCCCTATTGATCCCAGTTCTCAGGAGACTTTCTGGCTCAGATGCTGCTTTAGGTCATTTACTGATTCTTTCCTTTAACTCTACTTATTCCAAACTGACTCCCCTGGAGATTAAGAGGGGCAAAATCCCATGAATTTTGCTCCTTTTCAGACCATTCATCAATCTTCAGTGATGGGACCAGTTACTGCTCCATTTGGAGGGCTTCTTAACACAGCACTGATTTACAAACAGGTCTCTGAAATGCAGCAGGACTGAAGAAGAGGAAATTATAAGAGGAAGTTATAAAAAAAAAATCCAGCAGCCTTATTTGAAGATATGCTTGAGCTAAAACACCTGAACAAAACAACGGCAAAGCAAAACACGTAGCCTGGGCACAGGAAATACCCCTTTGGAAGGACAGCAGTGAGGGCAGAGAGGAGCAAACTTGCAAACCAGAGGGTCTCGGGGTGTCCACCCGCTCTGATGGCAGGAAAGGCTCTGCTTTAATTTCTTGCTTCCTCCAGCTGATAAGACCCACTGTGAAATCAAGCCGCTTGCCCAATGCCCAGCTCCGAGCTGTCAAATGCAATGGGGCAGGGTTTTGCTGGGCATCTGCCTGACATCAAGCAATGCTCAGCAGGATGAAAAAGTCTCTCATTCACTCTGAAAGATGCCTTGAATCTCTGCTTGCGTCCTTTGCAGTGGGGAGGATGCCAGCTGAGCATGCCCTGCTTGTGCACAGGCGCTGCCAGGCACACAGAGCTGCTGGGGCAGCCACGGGGACATGCCTGTCCACCGACTGGGACCAAGCGCCTCAGGACATCATGGAGGGCTCCTGGATGAATTTTTTTGGAGACTGCTGACAGTCAGCAGCAACTGCAGTGCCTTGTGCATCCATGGTGGGAAGAAGAAGAGCACTGAGTGGAAAAGACAAGAAGCTTGTCCCTCCACACAGGGGATGTTTCCCAGGTGTGGGATAAGGGAGAAGGGAGCAAGCAGGAACTTCCACATCCCCCATCACCCTGCCATGCCTCCATCTGCTCTGCCAGGCAGCATCTGCCCAGGGACTGCCAGCCCTGTCCTTGCCATGGCATTAAAAAAGCCTCCTGGGTGCAGGTCTCCTGGGGGCAAGCAAGGAGTTTCATTTTAGTCATGCTGCAGTCAGGAGTAAACCCCCTGCAGCCAGGAAATCCCCTAAGGGTGAATTTAATCTCATTCAAGCAGTGGTGATTTAGGAGCATGACTGGGAAAGGCTCAGCTTGTTTGCCCCTCTGAGCACACACAGAGCCCCTCACCTGTACATCTGGTCTGAGTGACTGGGCCTGCAGTGTGCAGGCAGAGTGGGCCTGGCTGGGGGGGGCAATGGGCTGGGGTGCCTCCAGTGGTGGCCACAACTGGCATTGCAGGAGCTGCCACTGGGGAGAGATGTCACAAACAGACCCTGGCACCCCCAGTGGGGCAGCAGCCACACCAGTGGGGAAACAGTGAGGAGTGAGCTGGGCTCCTCCACCCGTCCCCTCTGGGATGGCCATCCCTCTGCTCTGCTGCAGCGCTGGTGACAGGCCAGCCCAGCGCAAGGGGACACCAATATCCAGGGAGCCACTGTGGAAGAGGACAGGCTACAGCACTCCAGGGTGTCCTCTCCTTCCCACACGTAAGTCCCTTTGTTTTCTGCTACAGCCATCCCGCGTGGCCTTGGCCAAGCCTCTTAAGTCTCTGTGACCACTGGTGCTGCATGGGGACAGCAGGGCTGTGGTTTGGGGACAGGAAAGGCTGCAATGGGTCAGTTGGGAGCACAGAGGGCAAGGAGCAGCCTGCAAGGCCAACACACAGCTGCCCACCCCACCACCAATGTCCAAGTTTGAAAGTGAAGCCAGCAAACCCTACTTGGCTTCTGTGGGGGCTGTGACACAGATGTAGCTTCATGGGGCAAACCAGCACTTTGGGGAACCAAGGACACCTCAGCTCTGGAGCCACTCCAGAGGGGACAGCAGAGCGTGGAGCTGCTCACGGGCTCTGGCAGGCACTGCAATGTGGGACTATTCAGCTCTTGGGGGGTCTGACCCCAGCACCAACAGAACAGCAGGGGCTTCCTCCTTTTAATGAGGGTCTTCTGGGGATACAAACCAAAGGTCTGTCTGGGTCCCCTCCCTGCCGCTCCAGCAGATAGAGCGGCATGGAGACACGACAGCTAGCACATGGCATTGGGTGAGTGCGATGGCAGGAGGGCAGCAGCTCCTCCAGCCACCCCACCCGCGGGCACCGGGGGAGGCTGAGCCCCTGTGCCCAGCACAGCCAAAACCATACCAAACTCTGCCTGTGCTCTGCGTGCAGGCCCAGAGGCCTCATGCAGTTCCAGCAAACCTGCGCGCAATGGCTTCACCCCAGTGGCGCGGGACAGCAGCGGGCGGTGAGGACGTCACCCCGCAGGTGCAGGACGGGGTGGAGGGCAAGTGGGTCTTGCTCAAACATGGGCCTTGGGGTTTTGGGGTCGATGGGGCAGAGACCTGCACACGGACTGTGAAGCAGCCCTGGGGTTGATGGGCAACATCGCCTGGAGAAACATGGCGCAGGGGAGAAAACACGTTTCTCTGAACTACTGCGAAGGAAGCAATCCATTGAAAAGAGGCAAAGGGTTTTCTGCAGGACCAAGGGACCACCGATGTTTATTAGAGCGGTGCAGCTGGCGGGAGGGAGCACAGCTCCGTGCCAGCCCCCGTGTCTCTGGCGGCTCCTGGCGCAGCCCCGGACGGGAAACGAAGGTCTGGGGCCCTCGGGAGCCCAGTGGGGAGGGAGCCCCTCGGCCCAGCCGAGGGCGAGCAGGGGCTGCGGTTTGAGCGGAGACCCGGGCCCGGCCTGCTGCAGGCCGAAGGCGG